GTGTGTGCGTGTGTGTGTGTGAGAGAGAGAGAGTGTGTGTGTGTGTGTGTGTGTGTGTGTGTGTGTGTAATCATCTTGCTTGAAGTGGAACCGTCGGTCGTGTCGTGCTGGAGTTAGTGTGTGTTAATAGTTAGTGTTGTTCTGGGCCTGTATTCACAAAACATCTTCAGGCTAAAAGTAGCTGATAGCTCGCCGATTTAGGAGAAAATCTTCAAAATAATGAGCGTGTCAGTCCTAAATGTAGGACTCCTAAATGTTTGCTCTAAGAGTGTTTCACGAAGTGTTTTCGCTCTAAAACTAGCTCCTAAATCTGAGAAAGGTTAGGAGCAGTGAAGCCACAAACTATCCTAAAATCTGCCTCGCAACAGAAACATTTTAGAAACATGTGATGATAATGAGCTTTAATAAAGATATCGCCTTCGGTTTGAAAGGTTATCTGAACTCCAGATTCTGCTTTGATTATATCCTTGTTTCATTAAGCAGCCGGGTAAGAAGTCACAGCTGTTCTCGCGTCGTTTGGTTTTCTTTACGCTTGCATGCCTTACGATCAGCCAGGATTATTCCACTCTGTTTATTAAAAGGCTGTTTATATGCATATTCACTAATTATGAGAAGCACACATGTAAGAGGCTGACAATTAGCTGAACATATACTTGTTTAATTAGTGACACTTAGCCTGCATTTTAAAATCTATTATTTATTATTATTTTTAAACCTTTATTTGAATATAGCAACATAATATCGCACTCTTCAATATTTCTATGAATGAATCTCTAACAGAGACTATCAGCCAATCACTGTGTGCATAGTTAATAAGCATGATGACATCACCATAGCAACGAGCTCAGCCCCGCCCCCTCACTCTGAGCTTAAGACTTCTCTCTGTTCCTCAGTACAAGTTTGTCTCAGCAGCTTTGTGAACAGGGTTTAAGAGAAACTCTCAGATAAAAACTTTGACTGCTATTTAGGAAAAATCTTTGTGGTAAGATCAAATGTTTTGTGAATACGGGCCCTGTTTAATAAGCGCATGTGATTGGCTCATTCGCTCGTCATTCTGCATGCCGTTTGGCGGCGGATGGCAGTGCTTGACCTTTGACCTGAGCGCTGAGTTATTGCAGGTCGTTCTGGATCCCGCAGTGTCACGGCGCCGCTCACATTAGCAGCCAGAACCTCCACAGAACCGAACACATGTGAGACACGCCACAGAGAGACACACACACACACACACACACACACATACAAACTCACTCACTTGCACACACTCACGCACGCATGCACGTATGCACACACTCACACACACACACACACACACACACACACACACACACACACACACACACAAACTCTCTCACTCGAACACACACACACACACACACAAACTCACTCATACACACACACACACTCACTCGCACACACTCACTCACACTCACTCACTTGCACACACACACACACACTCACACACACGCACGCACACACAAACTCACTCACTCACTCTCACATGCACACACACACACACACAAACTCACTCACTCACTCTCACATGCACACACACACACACACACACACACACACACACACACTCACTCGCACACACACACACACACACACACACACACACTCACTCGCACACACACACACACACACACACACACACACTCACTCGCACACACACACACACACACACACACACACACTCACTCGCACACACACACACACACACACACACACACACTCACTCGCACACACACACACACACTCACTCACTTGCACACACACACACACTCACTCACACACACTCTCACACGCACGCACACACACTCACGTGAAGAGAGAGAGTGTTTGATTTTTGCATCATCATGTGATTGCTGGATTGTTTAACAGTTATTTCTTTTGTTTCAGTCAAAATTCAGGCTACAGTCATCCTCCCAAAGAAGTGAGTGAGATTTTCATTTCAGTCAGACGGATTCATAACCATCTGTCATGCAAATTATGGAATAATAATAAAAACAGTCAAACATAAATAATAATACACTTATATTATAATAATGACAACAACAAAAATAGAAATAAATTAAATTAAAAATAAATAAATTACAACAAAAACCTAAATACATTAAATAATAATAACACATGTATAATAATGCTGATGATAATAATAATACATTACAATTTAATCAGCAGCAAAAACATTTTTACGTTTTTTATTTTATTCTTTTATTTATACACTTAATGTAATTAAATTTGTATTAGGTAGATCAATAATTTATACTATGACAAAATATGTCAAATATTATTTGCATTTATTTTGTTACATTTTTCTGCTCTTTTAGTACTGTAGTTATATATTTTTTTACCCGTTTCATTTTTTTGTTTTAATATTTTTATCTACATTATTTTTGTACATTTAAGCAGATCAATAATTTATATAGCACATTAATATATTTGCAAAAAAAATTTCTTACACGTTATAGTACAGTAGTGTTAGATGTGTTTTATTGTTCACTTTAATTTCATTTTATATCTATATTTTTTATTTTACACCATTTTTTGTAATTGAATGCATGTTGAGCAGATCAGCGATGGCCAGAAATGTGATTGTGAATGTTTCTCAGCCTCAGGATTTCAAGCACACTCAGTCGTTCATGCTGTGATGGGAAGAGCACAGACGGATGGATGGATGGGGATTGTTGTGACACTGGAAGAAACAGCTGGAAAAACTCAATAACATTCAGTCTCTGCTGCAATAATGCTCCTCTGACGGTCTCCCGGAGCCTTAAACCAGTCGAGGACCTTTGACACGCCGTGCCTTTATCCCAACTCAATCGTGTGTGTATCTACCGAGCGTGGAATGGGCTGAATTATTGTACTTTTTATCAGTATTTGTGTTTTTGTTTTGGAATAAAAATATCTGCTTTTTGTCTGATTGTATCTGAATTGGAACATTTATTTATTTAAGGTGAGCAGAAATGAGATTTCATGCTGAATGACAAAATTATGAGACCGAAAAAGTACAGTTAGGCTTCGTTTGGTAACATTAATGCTTTCACAGAATTTGTAAAGCTTAATGCTAAAAATAAAAGTGTTCAAGTTTGTTCTTTAATGCATTTTTAAATTGTATTTATTCACATTAGTAAACAAAACTTCTACTGCATTAATGTTTATGCCGTGAATAAAAGCCTAAATTAAATCGTCAGAGATCAACTGTATAAACCTCTCGATTTATAAAGTAACTTTTTGAAGCTCGAAAATGTTTTACCGAGACTTTCAGATGGACAAAAAAAAATAGTATTTTAATATCCTATTATAGTTTTTTGTGTGTGTGTGTTTTTAAATTTTTCAAAGTATATTTTTGTAATTTGTCAGTTTTTTAAATATCTATAGTTTTATTTCAATTTTATTTTTAGTGCTGTCAAACGATGAATTGCAACGAAAATAAAAGTTTTTGTTTACATTATATATGTGTGTACTGTGTATATTTATATATAAATACACACACATACAGTATATTTTAAAAATATTTACATGTAAATACATTTATATTCGTATATATAAATATTTAATATATAAACAATTTGTTTCTTAAATATACATGTGTTTGTATTTATATATACATAACACATATACACAGTACACACATATATAATATAAACAAAACTTTTATTTTGGATGCGATTAATCGACAGCTCTATTGATTTTATTACTTTAAATGCAACTAAAATAAACGAAAACGAAACTGTTGCCTTTTTTATAATACATTGTTTCAGTTAATGTTTGAGTAACGGTTATTTTTTGTATTCAATAGTTTTAATGAACCATAACCCTGGAGCAAATATTAAAAATATCAATGTGTTACCGAGATAAAGACTAGAATTAGAAAAGCAGAACAATAACTCGGGAACGTGATTTTTTTAGGAGCTCAGGCTGTAAGTGAACCGCAGAATCACAGACGAACTGATGTTTCAACCAAAGACTGTTTATTAAATATCGAGCTCATAATTCCAGCGCAGGGACAGATGTGTTCATCATTTGGTCGTCACGTCTTCTAGTTTGGCTTCTGTGGAAACAACGACACGACAAACATGCAGATCAGTCAACGAGCAAAGACTAAACAACTAGTTATCCCACCCAAACTAACCTAACGGACAAAGCTAGCTCTGTAGGATCAGCTTCAGCAGTTTTCTTTATCCAGATGCATCAAACATGAGCTTCATATCTTACAGAAGCATTGATCTAAGAAATTATGTGTGGATTAATAATCTGTTCCTGTAGCTCAGATGAAAATCATCCTGCTTTGCACCAATTATTTCATTAAAGCTTTCATTTCATCTACTGCTTTCCTTTTTAAATGTTTTATTACTACATATTAAATCAAAATATTCATTTCTTTATGCATATATATATATACACACACACACACACACTTGTATTTATTTATTTAAATTTGTATTTAAAAATGCAACAATACTAATATTAATAGATTTAGTATCATTGATGTACTATTATAGTTTTTGTTAATATGTTAATAAGTTTTGGTATTTTTTGTATGTCTATATATAGTTTGATTTAGTTTTATTCATTTTAGTTATTTTCTTTAACGTGTTTAAAATTATACATTTTTATTTCAGTTTGTTATTTGATAATTTAGTACATTAATTAAACTAAATGAATCCTCCTCCTCCTCCTCCTCCTCATCATCCTCCTCCTCCTCCTCCTCCTCATCATCCTCATCCTCCTCCTCCTCCTCCTCCTCCTCCTCATCATCCTCATCCTCATCATCCTCCTCCTCCTCCTCCTCATCCTCCTCCTCATCATCCT